TAGGTGACTAATACTTACGTAACGAAATAGATTTTTCAAATGATTTTGCTTGAATTTTACTTCACAGACACCTGTCTTGCTTTAACCAGATCCATAATCTAAACCTCTCAGCCTATTACTAATAAGCTCGTAGCATATACTTATATACTCATAAGTAGTGCCGTAATCTAAGCAATAAATACTTTACTTAAAAAATTTCCCTCGAAATGGGAAGTCGAGTAACATTAACAAACCATTTTACTTAAATACTGATATTAGCGTAAACGCTTTGTTTCACGAATATATGTACCCATTTATCCAGATGTATTCTCTAAATCTCTAGGTCTAGGTCGCAAAATGAACTAAATATGCTTAATAATGTCATCGTATTTCATTGCTGTGGAGACTTTAACTAGGTCTTTTTGACTTAATGTTAAGTTAAAACAAGAATGGTCTCCAGCTCTGGTAATGTCCACCGTATGATGGACAAAGGCTTAGCTCGTTTATGCCATAATGAGGGAAGATGTATCGTGGATTGCTTTAACCTGAACGTAGTATTAAAGCCAAACGGCTGCAGTACAACGGCAATCAGCCATCGTTTTCTAGTCAAATCGAGCTTTGGATATCTTCATCATACGAAACTAAAGTCTCCTCGGCACTATTTATCTATGAGAAGATGCCTTCGGTGCGCGGCCTAACCGCTTAGATCAATTTGTCCTAACCCTTAATCTTTAAGCACAAAATATTCTTTTAAGATAATTCATCTAAAATTAAGCCGCACATTGTGACCAGTTGAAATCCTACCCACTTCTAATAGTCTAATTCAGCTATTCTTATGAACCCCTTCGAAGGTGAATTTTAATAAATTTATTTTTTCGGGACTATCCTTAATTCTTGAATTAGAACTTGCCATCCCTAGGAGTTATAAGTATTGATAGTGGACTAATCCTTCCTGGACCAGATGCTTGACCTCGCCTACACCTCATCCGCATTCACATCTAGACTTGAAATAGGATTGTTTGCACCGTTGCCTTAAGCAGCCATTCTGCTACTCTACCATTTGGTCATAGAACAAATGTGACATTCAAGGCAAACCAGGCTGTTCTCGAAGCATATTTTTTATGGTGGGATTGTCGCGGAGAAAAACATATAATTGCATTTATATCGAAGGCACTAATTCTGTTCCGTGTGAATATGCTTGAACTATGACTTATACCATGACTATCTAAAGCGGACTAGAAAGACCGAGTGATTATTCAAAAATTACTGCCATACAACAAAAATGCTTTTCAATGTGATTAAAGCAAGATTTCATTTATTTTATGAAAGGGTATTGCGTGTATATATTGGCAGCGATATACTACCCATTAAAAATGGCATAATACTTAATTTGTAGTCAGTAGTAGCTTCTTTTGCGGTTCATTGAATTCAGGCCGTGTTAGGGGCACAAATGAACCGAAAAGGTGGACTGAAAAATGCCACCGGACTAAGTTAGAGTGATTGGTGAAATTGACTCAGGTATGAAAGTAAAGCCCGCTACGACATTGACCCTGAGCAGATTCGTTATCAGCCGAGCAGGCTCCTGGTATATATGAAATTAAGTCTTAGTAACCACATTGGCAAATTTTGGTCCTCCTTTTTAGAAGTGCACTTTTTTTGTCAGTTGCTCAACAATTCAATGGAACACGGCCTTCACAACTGTCCATTACTTACATGCTTGGGCAACTCATACATTTGACACCGTCAACCAGTAGTTTCTAGGCCTTCCAAGATGAAAAACATCACGACCTCTTGTTGTCCCTTCATTGAGAAGCACTTAGGCTCTGTCAATAACGGTATCTCATCGTCTTTGGTCACTTGGGCAAAAGTCCTAGTTTCTGAGGGCAGTTCGGAAAAATTCAATTAAAATCACTTTTGCCTTTCCGTCCCACTACCTTTTCGATAAAAAGCGGAGGCTCAACAAAATGCCTACTCGCTCTCTCATGGCTAGTCGACTCGGAGTCTGTTCAGACACACACACACAGACACTCACGCTAAATTTAATGTTTTTCCCCCCAGGGAGGGGCAGAGAGAGCGGGCATTCTTTGTGTTTACACGTCTTCAGAGGCTGTGAAGGTTTCAATAGTGCAACTGCCGTCTTCAGCTTCATTCGCACCCTCCTCCCATCTGTCTATTCGGCCCAGCAGCTGCCAGGCCCTCGTGATTATCACCTTAATCGCCATGTCCCCGTGGTATTTGTCGCCATGGCTGTGAGTGGGGCAGAGTTTCGATTATCCACATCATGTGAATGGCGCCTCTGCAGTGGGAGGCTTTGCTTGCGTTCCCGGACAGAGACCGGATTCAAGATCATTATGACCAAAACACGACGGTCGCGTCGGTCTCTCCAGAATGTTTACTCCAGTTAATGGGAGAAAAACACTCCTTATTCTGGTACCTTGTCGAGAAGATGGTTTTCGTTGGCAAGTGGCCAGTTCCGCCCTCTGATTATCACCCAACCTCCTCTACCAGCTGGTGAATGCACTTTCATAAAACAGCCGAAATATCTTTCATATAGACTAAAGCCGTCGTCAAGTCACATGGTAGCCCAGGTGAGGGAAAAGCAAAGATGTAAAAATCGATCTATACAATATCATAATTAATCATATTCCGATTTTGATAGGCTTAGACACTATCAACTTCAAGTGAAATATATTATAGACGCCTGAACTATCAGTCCTCAACGACCCGAAGTGACCTAAATTGAATCATGATTTTATTCAAGAACAACTAAAATTATCGTGAGCTACTTATTTGGGAGATAGTAATATTGTCGACCACAAAGAAAAATGGATTGCACCAAAATGATGCGGTTTACTCCATTACTCGCAAGCCTAACCTTGAGAGATATTTCATTTTTGCTTGAGTGCCCCTTGGGCTGTGCAAGATAAGATGGGGTGTACTTTTACGCTGAGCTCAGCAAGATTAAAAATTG